TGTGAATATTTCGAGGAGGGCGGCCCGGGGCTCTTTAGAAAGCTTTTTTTCACTTTCTCTTTTTTCACCAGAAGCAGCATGGAGTTTCAGAGCCAAAATAAAACATTATAAGGGGAGGAGCTATCGAAGGGGGGAATTGAGGGAGGGCAAGAGAAAGGAGGAAGGTAAGGGAAGCACTTTGCTGTCTAACTGTCTGGTACAGGAGCACAAGCGGTGTAGATTGTGACACTGGCCTGCGATCATATGGAGCTACCAGGGTGTGATCACAATGTGAGAACTATTCCTGGCTGGGAACTGAGGGATTCTAGTTGAGCCGTTGGGACTACATTGTCTTGATCCGGGTGCACCATCATCCTATTGGTGGCGTTAACAAGGAAGGAATTCCTCTATCGGAGCTCCCACAACAAAGGAGAAAGGGAGAGGAGCGGGGTCGGTGGGAGGGGAAGAGAGGGGTGCAGTGAGAAGGGAGAGGAGGACATTGTTTGCCTGTGGCTGTGGGCAACAGAAAGCATGGGTTATCAGGCCTTATGTGTGTTTTTTTTTAGAGACTGTGTTTTGATGTGAGGATGTCTGAGTGAGTTGTGTGTGTAGTGTGAGTGTGTGTGTGAGAGAGCATGCATGTGTGTGAGGAGACTTCTTGGGAAAGGAGGGAGGCCATTCAAAGGATGCTCAAGCAAGGCAGGATATTTTTTTCTCCTTTTTGAATGGTGACTGGGGACTAGCTGAATTCCTTTGCTCTAGGCGTTGTGCTCGTCTCTGCTCCAGGGTAAGTTTGCGTCACCTAAATCTCAAACCGCCAAAACTGCCACCAGGCCTGGATTGGCTTATAGGAAAATGTCAGTAGGAGTTTACTCTTCTGTGATTGCAGCTTGGAAGAGCATGTGATGATGCAAACTTGCTATGGTCATTTGGTCACTGGTCCACATTGGCCCAAAGGGACAGTTCTGAACAGTGAATGTGAAGCTAGAAGTATGTTTTTACTCCTCACGTAGGAAATATGTCTTTGTGATTGTTTCATACAGTTGTAAGTATAATGTCTTCATTATAATGGTAATGTGCAGGATAGAATATTGTAATTTACAGATTTGATTGAGGAAGAAACATTTATAAACTGAAATCAAGTAGTGAGTTTGATATGTGAAATTGGGAAAATTGTATGCACCATATTGCTACATTTTGGCAGGATCAGAATGATGAAAATAGCATTGTGGTGTTAGAACCAACATTTGCTGTTTTTAAATGCAATTCACCAAAATATCAAACAATTTCACCATTGGATGCAACCGTCACATATTGTTTTACATTTACATTTACATTTTAGTCATTTAGCAGACGCTCTTATCCAGAGCGACTTACAGTTAGTGAGTGCATACATTTTCATACTGATTTTCTTACCATAGGCAATTTGCATCTTGGGTTTAATTGATTAGATATTTAATATTATTTCCTAGATGTAATGTGAGGTGTTCAAATCAACATCACAGTTCGATACAATCATTTGTGGCACGCTTTGTTGTTGCTCTGTTTTAGCCATGAACCGGTGGCCTTTTTCAATATCCGTCATAAGATGTTATGAGTCTCACGGGTGAATGCACAGTTGTCAGCTTTAATTAGAAAACCACTATCTTGATTACCACATAGAGACCCTCCATTAATTGTGACTGGCCTGTCTTTGTGGGGCTCTAAGATTGTAATTCATGATTATTATTCTGTGGTTAATGGAATCAGTGGTCTGGTTGGCCCGTCATTGGGTGCATTTTTCGGTTTGGATACACGCTGAAGCAATGGTGCCAAAACACCAGAGTCTCTTTTGTGTGTGAGTGTATGTTGGTGTAGGTGTGGGAGGGGACTGTGTTTCTCACAGACAATCACCGAAACAGAAAATCACACACATTCTCACTGTCTAGTGTCTTTATCAGTGATAGGATACATAGATTTCAATTTGTAATGATTGAAATAATAGTATCAGACATTTTACTGCCCTTTCATGTCTCATTGGATGTTCCATATATATTGCAGAGTAGCCCTATATTGTGACTCTAAATGATATTAATCAGGAAATGGTCTGCATTGATGGATCATAGATCAGTCTTGAGACCACACAAAGGGCTGAGTCTAAATCAAGGGCCATTTCTAGAGAGGTTAAGTGTTGGAATGGGCCGGGTCATCTGAGATATGGGTTAAGTGAAATGGTTGCCTAGCTTCAGCTTTAGCTTTAGCGCAGAACTAGCTACTGTGCACATTCTTGTCATATAGCAACATGGTCTAATTAAAATATGTCAAAACAGTATAATTTAACCATTGGTTAGCCTGTTGTAGAATGATTGCCTGGGTTTATTAGTTAAATTGCAGTATGGCCTTGCAGATTATTTCAGATTTTGATGGACCTGGAAGAGGGGTTCTTAGAATGACCCAATTACCTCGTACCCCTGCAAAACAAAAAGTCAGGTTATCGTTACTCATTGTGTATATTTATTCCTTGTGTTATTATTTTTCAATTATTTTCTTTTTTTTCACTCTGCATTGTTGGGAAAGTTCCATAATTAAGCATTTCACTGTTAGTCTACACCTGTTGTTTACGAAGCATGTGACAAATACAATTTTATTTTATTAGATTTATTCAGTAATTAGCAACCTCCGTGTTTGTTTTCAGATGGCATCTCAATTTTAATGTAGTAATGTGTCAGTAGGAGGACACACAGCATCATCTTGCTACAAACAGTATATCTCATAGGAATAGTTTACAATAGCACACTCAGGTAGCCTGGAATATGCTCTGATATGCTCTGTTTCCATTGTCTGCTATTTTGAAGTGAGACAATGGTGAAACAGAACATATCAGTTTGGATTCCAGGCTACACATCAGGTGCAATAACCAGTCAGACATGGCACGCCCTCACCCTTTGCCTTGGTTTGTTAACCTACTGAACATGGACACAGCCGCCTGGCCGCAGATACTCTCTGGTCTCCTCTGGAGAATACGAGGCTGTGATTAAGGCTAACAGGGTAATCATTGATCTTGGGCTGGGGCTTTGTCTGTGAGCCACTCTCCTCTCTGATCCTATGTATTCACAGTATTCCCCCTGGGTTCCATGCTATGGCCTACATCATCTGCGTTGCAGACATGTGCATAGTACGACTGTAATTACTATAATGCACATAGAGAGGTCTAATCAAAATGTTAATTTCAGCTACACCCTTATTATCTAATAGAAGACCGATACATCCTGGTCTTTAATGGGGATCATGGCTGTGAAACAGAATGAGACTGAATAGAATTATGAATTATGAATAGAATAGAATTACAGTATGACATGAAATTGCTGACAGAGGCACAATGAGGTTGTGTTCTGCTACAATTCGAACAAGCTGTTTTATCTCCAGCAAAGAGAACAGCCGAATCTAGTCATGCAGCTAATTGTTTCGAGCTCCTAACCTGTGAATACTGAATATTCATTGTAACCAAAAAACTAAGAGCGGATACAGCCAGCAAAGACAGCACTGTAAAATGTGGCGCCTTCTGGTCCAGCGAGCCAGAAAACAGAAAACCTTCTCGGTAGATTTTTTGGAGCCAACTTCCCCAATTTATCTGACTCGACCAGCCGAGACCAGTTGCAACCAGCCGTGACCTGGAATGACCTGTTGTAGATCCAGAGGCACTAATCTGACCTCAGAGGAAGCAGTAGCAGCAGAGTATAGCAGAGCCCCTCCCTGGTAGCCCCTGATTGGCCCACCTCAGCCCCTATAGGCCAGGATAATTACACTCACCATTGAACCCTCTGTCATTACAATGACCATACTGTGGAGAAGTAACAGACAGTCTGAAACAGTCCCTAGTCATGGACAAAACTCATGACAGTTATGTTGGAACGAGTCAATTAACTTTTGGGAAAGGATGCATTGTAAGCGATGAAAATATGTTTAATACTTAAATGGTGGACTGTACTGTGGCTTACAGTCCAAATTGTTGTGATGATGTGATTTATTATAGATCAGTCACAGCAGAAATCTTGCTCCTATTACCATTCACAATACTGTACAGTACAACCTGTTTACAATGCTTCTTGAGCCCAGTGTCTCTGCAGTTATGTCAGGTCATCACAAACAGATCAGAAAGCGGAGCGGTGTCCTGTGTCGTCATAGACATCTTTTATCTGTGATTCCCCGGCTATGCATCACTGCCCTCACCCGTCAGCCCCCCCATCCCCCCAGCCCAGCCACCCCAACTTCCTCCACCCCCTCCTCAGCACACAACAAATGAGGGGGCGTTTTTATGCCTGTCATATTTGATTAGAGGCTAAATGGTTTCCCCAGGGCCGGGCTCAGAGAGGGCTAGAGCTGGCATGGGAGAACTGGTCCTGCCTGCCAGAGCTCAACAGTGTGTTTCCTAACAGTGGGTATCCTGGAAGATTCTGCTTTCAGTGGACAGGCCTGTCACACACATTTCAATAGCCAGAACGTTTTAGCTGGTGCCTGGTGCAGGCCATCAAAGACCAAGAGAGCCCAGATCAGTGCATGTGGTCCAAGGATGACAAAGAACCAGGCTTGTCTGCACAGTAAGCCAGCCAGGAGTCTCTGGCTCTGCTGTGCTTCAGTTGATTCTACTGTACTACTCTCTCTCTCAACAAATGGGCTGTGGCTATGGTGGTGCGTGGTTAGCGATGGAGTGAATAGGTGGTAAACCTATCATGGATATGTTTCTGCAGTTGTAGTGGTTTTCACCATATTTTAGTTAGTGACTACATTCACAAGTCATGTACACTGCAAATAATATGATGTTGACCATTATCCAAAGTTGGTGCAATAACATCAGAGAGCAACAAAACATTTAATATAAATCAAACTGTTTTGGGGGGTCAAAGAGGAATGATTTTACAGTTAAGCTGGATGCTCACCCCAAGCCCCCTTGTCTCACTCTAGGCATCTGAAGGATCTCCTGCATGCATGGCAGAGGGGCCCACTCTTGCCTATTACCTCACTATCCCCTGGGCTGAAGGATTATGGGTAATCTCATCAGCCGGCCCAGCTGCCTGGGCCAGAAGTCCAAGCAGGTGAGGTCCGACGAGGACTTCCTGAAGGAGTGCTACCAGCGGCGCAGCGAATGGCAAGCTCCGCCCCCGACGCACCACGGGGAGGCCAGGCGGGAGGAGGTGGTCAGAGAGAGGGAGGAGGAGAGGGTGACAGACAGGACGAAGGAGGATGAGGTGTCTCACAGCAACACCCCTCCCTCGGACAAACCCCTCAGGACCAACCCCTCCCCCGCCCCCACGGTCACCACCACCAGTACTCTGGACAATGTCTGGCTCGGCACCCCCTCCCCCATCAAGACTTCCAGGAACAGCACCCTGACCAGGAAGGCCGTGGTCCCAGAGATCCCCTATGGGAGATCCCCTCTAGCCCAGCCTGGCTCAGTCCCAGGCTCAGCGGAGAGGAGGGCCAGCTTCCAGAGGAGGGACTCCAGAGAAGGAAGCCTCCAGAGGAGAGACTCTAGAGAGGGCAGCCCCTGGTCCTGGAAGACCCTGGCCTCTCGCGAGGTCACGGAGGTGACGGAAGTGACAGAGACAGTTGTGACAGAGATTGTGGAGGTGACGGAGTACCCGTCTGGAGAGAAGGGCGGAGACCCCATAGTCACCAGGACTGTTAGGGTTCTGACTGGAGCGGCTGAGGAACTCGCTGAGGTCAATATAACTTCAACAGCCTCTCTCTAAAGTGTCTATTATTATTCAGTACAGTAGATTAGGATTAGAATTTCCTTTTTTCTCCCCCTTTCCATTCCATTCTTTCATTGAACGTCTGAACTTCAATCTTTACCACTCTGCAATTTCCTTAACATCTCTTCAGCAGCATGTGCTACAGAATGTGTTATATTTTTGACAGGACGGCCCTCTTTTTCAGAAAAGTAGATTGTGCAATGTAGTCGGCTGATGTGTTGACTTGTATATTTCTATCCCAGCTACAAAGCGATGGACATTCTAGTTCAGACCAAGATTCCAGCTTGGACCGTTGGAGGGTAAGATATCCAGTGCATTGCTCTGTTTTTTATGTGCACAGTATGAAGGTAACACTGACATTACTGCATGGTTCCATGGTTTCATATGGTATGGTTACTATAAACAGTGTCAATGCTGTGTCATGCTCTCTCTTTCCCCAGGGAACGAGATCTGCCTTGACTCTGAGAGATGAGTTTGCAGATTCTGAAACGTTCCATCAATCCCTGGAAGCACTGTTGACCTGGGTCTGTGAGATAGAGGAGCTGACAGCCAATCAGAAGCCTCCATCTTCAGAGGTCAAAGTGGTGAAAGCACAGCTACAAGAGCAGAAGGTTTGTTACAACACGGTACACAAAATATCTAAACTTACACAAAGCACCCACGGCTAAGTAACTATATGTTTGATCAAATGCACGAGGATACTTTATCAATGGAAAATGGCACTGATATCATGGAAATAGTAAAATGCTCCCTTTATTATATGAAATCCCTTGTATTCAGGGCTGAACAGGGAAGGTTCACTCTTACAATTCCTGGGGTAAAAAAAAAGAGCCATTCACCTTTCAGTGTGAACCAGCTCCCATTGTGAGTACAGTGGGTGAGGTGAAACCTGCCTGGCTCCTCACAATGCAGGCCTGACACTTGAGAGGGGTCTTTCACCGCACTCACACAAAGGCAGGAGAGACAAGAATAAGACACATAGACCAGAATGTAAATTCTCAGGGCTAGCAAGTAGCATTGACTCTCTGCAGCTAAGACCTGAGTCGTCTGAGTTGTAGTTGTGCTAACTCATAATACATCTATTTGAGATATTCTCTGGCTTTACACTTCACTGCTCAATAGTTGTAGCCTATTTTCAAGCATTTGTAAGATTACTCTGGATGTTCCAAAGTAGCTCATCCCCAATTTATCACAGGTTTTGACTTTTAATCATTGAGAAAATATCCATGTGTCTCATCATCAGAAAGACAATGAGTAAGACTTGGCGTTTTCCCTGGTCAGGTACTGTGGTCAGATAAAACTCCTGGTCATAACAACGATAAGGCAATGGCCGAGTATCCATTATCATCTTACAGCTCCTGCAGCGTCTCCTGGAGGACCGGAGGCGTAGTATGGAGACCATGATGCTGGAGGGCCCTCATATGGCCGAGGCCTTCCCAGGGGAGGAGGGGGAGCAGGCCAGAGTCCAGCTCTCCACACTCAGACACAAATGGGAGGCCTTACTGGTAGATGCAGTGAACAGGTCAGCTCATTGAACTGTGGGGCTCCCCCTTCATGTTATGTTATGCTATGCTATTCTATGCTATGCTTTGCTATGCTATGTCATGTTGTGTTTCGCTTTGCTATGTTATGCTATGCCACCATGCCGTTGGCAGCGTGGGCTGAGCTGTAATGTAATGGATGTTGTGCATTGGTGTTAACAGGCGGGGCAGTCTGGAGCTCATCCTGCCCAGGGCCCAGCTCTTCCATGAGAGGGTGGACAGCCTGCAGCAATGGCTCATCTCTGTGGAGCAGGACCTGGCCGAGCTACGCAATGCTGAGAGGGAAATGCTACACCTCCCCGAGGCTACAGAGCAAGCCAAGGTAGGACATCATCAATGCATACTTTTCTTCCGTATGCAGGCCTATACCCTGTGCCATATACTGTATGTTTATGTAGCAGAGGAGGCTGGTGGGCGGAGAAATCGTCTGACACAAAATGTCTGACATTATTTTGTCATACCCCTCAGGCTGTGGTGGAAGAGATCAAGGCGAAAAACGCTGACTTGGTGAAAGTTCAACAGAGCGGTCATGATCTCAAGGAGAATATTTCAGGTAACATAAATGCCAGTATGAAAAACAAAATGTATGCACTCTGGATAAGAGCGTCTGCTAAATGACTAAAATGTAAAAAAAAAAAAAAAATGTAAAAAAAAATGAATAATGCAAAATCAATGTGTTCGTAAATGTTTACCCTTACCAATACACAAAATTAATCAACAGATTGCTTACCTAGCAAAGTGAAACAACATGAGTAGCGACATGCTAAAAGTAGCAACATGCTAAAAGTGGCTACATGCCACAGGAGGCTGCTGAGGGGAGAACGGCACATAATAATGGCCGGAACGGAGCAAATGGAATGGCATCAAACACATGGAAACCATGTGGTTGATGTATTTGATACCATTCCACTAATTCCACTCCAGTCATTACCACGAGCCCGTTCTCCCCAATTAAGGTGCCACCAACAACCTGTGCTACATACTAATAGTGGTAACACACTAAAAGTACCAACATGCTAAGAGTACCAACATGCTAAGAGTACCAACATGCTAAGAGTACCAACATGCTAAGAGTACCATCATGCTAAGAGTACCAAAATGCTAAAATTATCCACATGCTAAGAGTACCAGAATGCTAAGATTATCCACATGCTAAGAGTAGTCTTTGTGTTGGTGTGGTCCCCACAGAGGAGGAAGCCCAGCAGGTGCAAGAGCGTGTAGACAGCCTGAGGATACGCTGCTCGGTGTTGAGCCTGACCAGTAGTGACGTGCTGCAGAGACTGGAGCAGGCCCTGGAGGCATCCAGCCGCTGCACCTCCAGCCAGGAAGACCTCCACCTGTGGCTGGGCCGCATCGAGAGGGAACTGCTGGGGCCTGCTGGGGGGCAGACTGGGGGTGGAGACACTGTGCTATGTGCTGCAGAGAGACAGAGGGTAAGAGGCAGGGCTTAGCAATGTTGCCTGTGACCATAACTGATATGAAGTTGATGGACTGCTTACTCATGAGTCACGACTATTCATTGGGTCCCGTGCATTTAGGCAATATTGATAATCTTCTGATAAGGAAGAAGTAGTAGGAACTCTGCACACACTTCAACTAGACAGCAATGTGTACTTTTGTTAACCTGTCTGTATGTGTGTGTTATTGTCAGTTGGAGCAGGCTGTGGTGAAGGAGATGGCCTGGTTCAGAGACACTGCCTTGAGCCTGGAGCAACTCAAAGCCATTAATCTGGAGCCTGACCTTATCTCTGCCCAACTCTATGAACAGAAGGTGAAGAGACCCATTGGAACTACATTTTAAAAGCTACTTTGTCCCTTAGGGCCACCCTATACAAGCCTGTTCATCCACCTCTACATATGCTTTGTTTTGTTCTACAACCACCTATGTAGATTTGTATAGAGGTCTGATGATGTGTGAAGTTTGAAAATATTTCTTGGTTTGCGAAGGCTTGTACGTTTGCATTAATTTTAGATTGTAAAATATGCCATGCTTTTGTGTTGTGTACGTGAAGATCCTTGCAGTGGAGATTCTGCAACACAAGTTCAACATTGAGAAGATGGTGAAGATCGCTGAAATCTTGCAGACATACGGTGATGAAGGGGAAATAGGGGATCTGCAGGTACATACTGTACCATCTTACCCATGATATCATCTGAATATAAAACTTTCAAACAAATAAGACAAGCTAATAGCATACAGGTGAAATGAAAGCTGTTGTCATCCTATCTCCCCAGACCCCGTTGGATGCCTTACAGGAACAATGCAACACCACGTCAGCCACCAACTCCCATGTGGTCCTTCAGCTGGAGCATGCCCAGTCCCTCTTGGTCCAATTCACTGAGGGTCTCGCTGAGGTGTCACCATGGCTACAGGAAACCCAAGCGCTCATTGGCCAGCTCTCCCTGAGCACCATTAGTTACAAGGCATTCCGAGAACAACAGGACCTCTTACAGGTAGCAGAGACCTGCCTCTGAGTGGAGTGCCAATTATTTTCCCCCTGTTCAACAATGATGCCCTTTTATACTTTATAGTTCCCCCTCCGTTTTCTGCTCAAATGTGCTGTTCTACTATTCTTCCCTTTTAGATTGTTTGGCTCCGTTAGTGTACTTTAATCTACTTCCTGAAAGGATAACATTGAACATTCCCACAGGTTTATAAAGACATCTCTATTCTCCTAGGTAGTTAATGGAAAGTGAGACAATGTGACCTGTTTTACCTTCTTCAACAGTTCTTAGGGATAGAAATGAGACTTCTCGTTTTTCAAACATAGCCATTTAAGTGCACTCTATAATTCCTTTACCATACCAAAAACGTTATCTGGGTCATATTCATTAGTTACTAAATGGAAGAAAACGGGGAGGAACTACCTGAACTTGTCCAATAAGAAACAGTCCTTTTAGTTTTCAGTTGCAAAACTTTATACTACTGTGTGCCTGATGAATACAACCCAGATCTATGTGTGCAAGGATCTATTTATCTGACCACTAACCGTTTCTCACCAAGGGCCTAAGGGAGTCCATAGCAGAGCATAGACCTCTGATAGCACGGCTGTGCTCGCTGGGGAAGCGTCTGTCAGAGCTTAGCCCCGCCCAGGGGGAGGAATTTTGTCATAGCGCCAAAGAGGCTGAGGAGCAGCACAGGGCCATCAGAGACAGGGTCAGAGAGGCTGCCAATCTATTGGAAGAGTCCCTGCCCAGATACACACAGGTGACAGTTATACACACACTGCTGCATGACGACACACGCGACACAAACACACACATCCGAAGCACACGCACTCACACACACAAGCATAAAGACACACACACATGAAGACACACACATGGTACATGTATACAGTACACATAGTAGTCTCGCCAGACTCTACACACTGTGAGAAGAGACTATACACATAGAAACATGAAAACATTGGACCATCACATACACACAGTAACACAATGATCTCTTGTCTCTGTAGTTGAATGAGAGGATGATGCTGATTAGAGAGAGTCTGGATCGTCTGCTTGGCCACATGCAGTCCCCAGCATCTCTGCAGGGCCGGACTCCACGCATCCAGGAGCAGCTACAGGACAACAAGCACACCCTGGCTGAGCTCTCCAAGCTGGAGCTAGGCCTGGGGAGTGTCCGTACCCAGGCTGACGAGCTCCTGGCCAACACACAGGCAGCTGGGGACGCCTCCATCGGCACAGGTACACTCATCACAAAGTGCCCAAAATGTTGGTTCTTTGCATTAAATGGTTGGGAGTATAAAGGGTGTGTAACTTTCTTTGTGCAAGTTGTTTAAATCAATATGAAACTTTTCTGTTTAGCAGCACACATCTGGAGAGGGAGAATACATAGCAGGTGTTTTGCTTGTGTGTGTGTGTGTGTGTGTGTATCATTAATTTATCCTGAAACACCTTTGACAGATGCTGCCTAGGTTACCTACAATGGGTCTAATTGTTTTGGAGTGTGTAGAGAAAGTAATTTCTCTCAGCCAGTGATACTATGAGAGAAAATACAGAGATGTCACTGTGACTTGCAATGATTGTGATATGTGGTTGTCTGCTAAATGACTAAAATACAATGTATTATAATGACTGTATTCTGTGTTCTCCCCAGCGATCCAGGAGCGGGTGTCCAGCCTGTGCCAGCTGTGGGAGGAGGCTCAGAGGCAGGCTCAGGAGAGAGATGGCTGGCTGCTCAACCTGCTGGACCTGGCCCTCAAGTTCTGGAGCGATGTTAGTGACGTGACAGTCGGCCTGAACGATGCCCAACAGGCTGTCCTGGACCTGAACGCCAGTAGGACAGACTCAGAGACCATCCGCCAGAGCCTGGAGACCATGCAGGTAACTGTGGACGGTGGAGCTGTTGGTTTGACCTTAGCTGCTCAAGATGAATGAAATAGTTCAGTACAATTTCCAGTGAATGTGTTTTTTTCATCTTGTCAGGTGCTAAGACGGTCCAAGACGATCCATTTCTACTAATGTACTCTATGCTGCCTGCTACCATTTATCTCCCTTCTTACTGATTCCATTGTGGGGTCTCTCAACCTTGACTATATCGCCTTACAGACACTCAGGGAGGACATCGACAGTCTACAGGGGGACCTGGACACGCTTGGCATTCTGGGAATGGACTTGATGTCAGCATGTGGGGATACAGACAAACCGGATGTCACCAAGAGCTTAGATGAGGTGAGGAGTGAGAGGAGTTAACATTTATGTTAATATTCATTTTCCGTAAGACCATCATTTTTCAATGTGTTTCTAAACAACTACATCACTGACTCCTAAGCTCTACTGCACATGGAACAACCTGAGTAAACTCTGGAGCGAGTGTCACAAAAAGCTGGAGGAATCCTTACAGATGGCTCTACATTACCAGGACACCATGCAGGTACGTGTGTGCGTAGTACGTGCTTGCATTCGTGCGTGCGTTTGTGCGTGTCTGTGTGTGGGAGCTGGTCACTAACATATCCGTATTGTCACATAGCTTTGCTTGGCTACCGCTTCTCCTCTTAACTCCCCCAGCGCAGTGGCACTCAGCCAACAAAGAAGTCCACTAGTCTTTTATGTCCATTGCAATGGCAGAAACCAGACTCTAGCTCCCTGTAGTGTTGGTGATGAGTGACTGACAGACTGTGCACTTCCCTGCCAATGGGAAACAAATGGTGTTGATGGTGTTAACTGTGAGAGACGGTCTATACCCGAGGTCTGGAAAGCCAGCCTCAGTGTCGCCACTTGTACAAGTCAGCAGGATTGCATGTTTCATTGTTCAGTATGGAAGTTATTTCACCACCTCAAAATACATAGCAACTATTCATAGTCTTTTGTGACACAAACTTGTGCGTATATGAATGAATTATGTTTTAAGCATATAAAAACGATCACTTTCTTGTTTTTCCACAGGGGCTTTTCGAGTGGCTCAAGTCAGCAGAGCTGAGATCAACAGAGGAGTTCTTGGTAGGAACTGACCTGGAGTCAGTCAAAGAGCAGCTGTGTGATCTCAAGGTGAGTCTACTCTACACAAACAGAACACACCGATGAGCTCCCACTCTGTCCTAACCTCAAACCAATCATTTATCATGGGAGCAATAAGCAAGACGTTCCATAATTCTCACTTTAAGCCTTTTAGTCTTTTGCTGAATCTGACAGTTCTTTCTACATTGCCAGCTCCGTAAAGTATATGAAACCTGTGCCCTTTCTCCTCAGGAGTTTAAACGGGAGCTATACCAGAAGAAGATCGAGATCGAGAGCCTGAATCACCGTTTTGTGTGCAGGCTGTCTCCAGGCTCTGAGCGTCCCGGCTCTGTCTCTCCCCTGTGTGACTTCAGACAGCGCTGGGACAGCCTGGAGGCAGAAACCGTCAGCAGACAGGTCAGACTCCACTCAATCACTCATCAATATGTGGAATTCAATTGGCTGGGACTGGTTTCCCAGACACAGATTAAGCCTACTCCTAGATTAAGAAGCACTTTCAATGGAAAATGTCCATTGAGGATGTTTTTTAGTCCAGGATAAGGCTTAGTCTGTGTCCAGGAAACCGATGGCTGTTCAGTCTTTTTTAATGGCTAGGGTTATGGTATTGAAGAGGTCTGACAATGCGTTTAATGTGTTTTCACTACTTGTGGTTGTAGCATCAGCTGGAGTGTGCCCTGATGGGTCTGGGTCAGTTCCAGAACACTCTGGATGAGCTGCACACCTGGCTCTCCCACACAGCCGACCTCCTCCAGGGCAGTCGGCCAATCAGCATCGACCTGCAGGCCTGCGAGATAGAGCTGGCCAAACACAAGGTTCGTGACTTAAATGAATCAACACAATTTATTGGGATCTATGCCATTTTAAAGCTTCTGACACCTATGGGTGTATGTGTGTTTGAGGAAGGACAATGCTATTGGATTGGTTGGTAGGCAAATATCAAGTGTATTACAGTTATGTCATCAAGTGTGCTACTACTCTAGGTGCTGCGTAATGACGTCATGTCCCACGTGCGTACGGTGGAGTCTCTGAACCAGGCGGGGCGGGGCCTGTTGGATCCAGGGACTGGGGACAGCCCTCACGGTCTGCAGCCGCGGCTGGAGCAGCTGAACGAACGCTGGGAGTTTGTCCGCTGTGAGACAGAGCGCAGACAGCTAGAGCTGGAGAACAACCTCAGTCAGGTGTGGAGAGATTGGGAATGGGGAATAGACCAAGTGGCAAATTAAAGGTTATTGTTCATGATCCCTTCATCTCTTTTTCTCATTCACTATCACATATGCAAAGAGATACCAAACTTATTAGAAGTCTTAGGCCTAACTACTTATTAGGTTTCTCCCAACATTGCGATATCACTGGTCCACAGTACTGAATGATTATCTGCGCTGTGGTGCCTTCTAGGGGTGAGTGTCTGAATATTACTGTCATAACAGATTAGTAATTGATTATAAATATGGTTTTCAGAGATTTTTTTTTTCTTCTACCCTAGGTCCAATATGTTACCATGGAGATCCAGGACCTTCTTCAGTGGTTGGAGAACACAGACCTGAGGCTGTCCTCCAGTAAGACAATGTGGGGGATGCCTGACTCTGCCAGCGAGAGGCTCAACGCACACCTGGTAAGGCCAACTCAACACCTCACACTAACTATACCCCACCTCAATAACTGACCTATCCAGTGGCTATTTTAGCATGTCAATCTTGGTGGGGCAAAAAAATTATAATATGCATGCCAGCAAAGCCACTACACAACACAACACTAAACAATATATTAATTGCACTATAATGGTGACAAACAGTGCCTACAAACTGTTAGGGTCTACATAAAGCTGTCCCGACACCTTACCACTGTTACACCTGGCTATCAGCGGAGCCTTGTCTGGCAGCGAAACAGTTCATTCGGCCTCATTTACTGCCTTTAAAAAAAACATAGCTGATATGGCTGACTTGCTTAAACAAATGTGGTTTCTACTGACAATTGAGATGTACAAACTATAAGAGGCAATCCGTAATTTCGATTAAGACATTAATGAGCACACTAGGACGGACATAGTCAATATACCTATTTGTTCAGCACTTTTGAAATGTACAGCGACAGAATTCAGAACATGGGCCGTTCTTACAGTTTTCTCCCTGTACACCAAGTCAGAACCGTATGATAAATAAAGGGGGATATAAGCAGACAATGAAAGCTCTCACAATATTTGATGATTACATTTCTCTAAAACAGTATATAGGCTACATGTGCACTACCAAGTCAGAACAGTAGACTAAATTATGAGGGGAAAATATACCAAATTATTCGGGTGAGGCACATGGGCTACTAACAGCTTACTACACAACATACACTTAGTATTACTTTCTTAGCTACAGTATACAGTGAGGAAAAATGTATTTGATCCCCTGCTGATTTTGTACGTTTGCCCACTGACAAAAACATGATCAGTCTATAATTTTAATGGTAGGTTTATTTGAACAGTGAGAGACAGAACACTTTCTCATCTGACCACAACACTTTCACTCAGTTCTCCTCTGAATCATTCAGATGTTCATTGGCAAACTTCAGACGGCCATGTGCTTTCTTGAGCAGGGGGACCTTGTGGGCGCTGCAGGTTGTCAGTCCTTCACGGCGTAGTGTGTTTTCAATTGTTTTCTTGGTGACTATGGTCCCAGCTGCCTTGAGATCACTGACAAGATCCTCCTGTGTAGTTCTGGGCTGATTCCTCACCGTTCTCATGATCATTGCAACTCCACGAGGTGAGATCTTGCATGGAGCCCCAGGCTGAGGGAGATTGACAGTTATTTTGTGTTTCTTCCATTTGCGAATAATCGCACCAACTGTTGTCACCTTCTCACCAAGCTGCTTGGCGATGGTCTTGTAGCCCATTCCAGCCTTGTGTAGGTCTACAATCTTGTCCCTGACATCCTTGGAGAGCTCTTTGGTCTTGGCCATGGTGGAGAGTTTGGAATCTGATTGATTGATTGCTTCTGTGGACAGGTGTCTTTTATACAGGTAACAAGAAGAGATTAGAAGCACTCCCTTTAAGAGTGTGCTCCTAATCTCAGCTCGTTACCTGTATAAAAGTCACCTGGGAGCCAGATATCTTTCTGATTGAGAGGGGGTCAAATACTTATTTCCCTCATTAAAATGCAAATCAATTTATAAAATTTTTGACATGCGTTTTTCTGGATTTTTTTGTTGTTATTCTGTCTCTCACTGTTCAAATAAACCTACCATTAAAATTATAGACTGATCATTTCTTTGTCAGTGGGCAAACGTACAAAATCAGCAGGGGATCAAATACTTTTTTCCCTCACTGTACATATCCCCCTGGCATATTACATAATTTATGCAGCAGCATACAATAAATTTTTGGACTCACCTTGTTGTGCTCACTTGAACAGGAATGTGGCACGGTGGTTCTTCATGGGCAAATTTTGTCATCAAACTTTGTCATCAATGTCTGGCACTCTCTGGATTTATGGTGCTTTTAATACAACTGTGAAAAAAACAAGGTTGATTCATGATGGCGTCAGTGATCTTCAGGTCGGAGTTCTAGATAGAGGCCCGAGTTCCCGACTTAAAATTCCGAGTTGGATGACCGTTCAAAACGTATTTTCCCAGTCGGAGCTTGTTTGTTTCCGAGTTCCCAGTTGTCTTGAACTCACTGAAGTCTAAGATTTCCCAGTTCCAAGTTTCCAGTTGTTTTGAGCGCTGCAGAAGTCATGCTGGATTGACAGCATGGCCAATGTTGAATGTTGATCCTTTTAAGATTGGAAAAGAGACCGTTAAACCCAGACTTGGACCACACACCCACTCCACTGAATAGCAGGCTAGTGATTGCTTTGCAATGCTTGCAGTTAGTCACTGATTCCTTCCAAACCACTCATTGTTGAATTTGCGATTTCCAACTTGTTGTGTAATGTTTATGTCCAATGAGCACCTATACGTTTTATCTATAATTTATCTTCATTATTTCTCTGCATATGACAAGGATTGAAAAGGATTTGCCAGTAGATTGTCGACTTGATTCATGATGATGACGGCTAGCTTGCTAGCTAAGATTTTGAAAGTATGATATTGACATGATCAGTCCAATCAAAGCTACTGTACTGTAGATATAACGTGATTTGACGTCATTTTATCTGTGGCCAATGACCTTGAGCCTTCTTGGATGGGCACTTCTAATGCAACTCTATGGCAGCACCTAAGGGGCTTGAATTTTCAAGCGCTATCTGTATATTTTGTGGTGACGTAGTGTCCCCATGACTGAAAGAACACTGAGCCAATCACGGCACAACTAGAGAACATTACCAACCCCTACGCTCTGTATTTTCCGCTGGCTGCCCCACCCCCACAGAAAGCACTGAGCTAGGCTGAAACACCTGCATTTTGGAGCTGCCTTACTAAAGAAAGCAAAAAAGAGACCATGTTTGTATGTGGATTTATGAACTCAATTATTTTTTATATTTTTTATTACATTGTTTGCAAACTAATATGTGACATGTATGAATGCCAAAATAACATGCAAAACAGGCAACAACAAAACAGGTGGGGCTCTAAACTGCCCTGAATGATGGGTCGCCACTGGACCTATCTAGTAACTGCCCACTGAAACTGTCCTGTGCACTTATCAAAAAATGAAATCCAAGTTCAGACGTTCATAAAACTATAGGGTGAGACCACTTTCCCCATCCACCTGTATCTCATTGAAACCCAATGTGTATTGTAATTGTATGATTTTTACAAGGTTTTGCCTCAGCTCAGAGGAACCTACTCTTTGACTGTATGCAAACTTTACAGTGTGGCATTGAGCAACAATGATATCTATATAGCTGAATATCCCCATCTAGTGGTTGATATCTTTAACGACAGTACATTCAAACTTTTTCTATTAATGTGTAAATTCAAGTGTGAATTCAATGACTAGGCAGATGCAATTGAAACTTACAGATATTATTTATTTTGATTACTGACATTACATTTTTTATATACTGTATCAACTGCTTAAAACACTTGTTAATTACTTCTGAGATAGCAGTGTGTCTTATTATCAAAGGCAAGTCTTACTGTTAATTACATGGAGTTTGAGTCATAAACAGTTTTCACAACCCTCCAGCTAATGTCAGTACATAAAGTAATGACATATGTTTGTAAAGGTTGTCCTCACTTGACCCTGGCAATTTAGCTAGTTTTCGCCTTTCCCTTCTATAAAAAGGCGCAGTGGGCAAATCTTACTTCCACTATTAAAGTATGGGAACACCTTTTCCGTGAATTTGTCTTTGAAGGTGTACAGAGTAGTGTTCTTGTTGAGGTCGCAGAATATCACCTCCCCTTTGTCACAGTCCAGTCGTACGCGGATCACTCGTGGGCTCTCATCTACCTTGATCTGGACGTGCGATTTTATACCTGCTTTGTGTTTTCCACTGATGTATTTGATGATCCATAATCCACTCTGAGGCTCCATTTTGACTTGTGTCTTGCGTGGAATGGACTCTTTGGCTACTCCTAAGATCCAGTTATCATTATCTCCAACCTCCACGTCCCAGTAATGGATGCCTTTACTGTACCCTTCAGAACCCAACACTCCTACATTATGAAACCTTTCGGGATTGTCTGGGAGACTCTGCCTCTCATCACAGTATGTCATAGTGGTGAGGTCATCAGTGAGTGCGAACTTAGTGGACATTGTGTTCGGATCCATGGTCACAGGAGCTATAGGGATATGTGCAGAAATGTATATTAATATTGAACTATATTGGTAGGAGACATACAGTAGAGAAACCCATTTTGGGGGGAAAATGCACTCACTGTAGTCAACAAACTCAAGCATTTTCTCCCAGACTTTGAACTTGAGAGATCCCACATGTTTGGCCATGTCAATCAGTGCTCCTGATACTATCTCAGTATCTTCAGTATCTGGGGATGTGCAATCGGCTCTATGGTAAAAAATGGATGGCGTCAGTGGAATGGAAAAAATTATAAATATTTAGACACTATTTTAATGGGAATTACCTGTTAAGTATGGCCTTGTAGTTCTATAAAAAAGAACGAGGACAAACTTCACTTTTGATATCAGGCGACATTGAGAAACAGTTTCACAACATTGGGATTTATAACATTTTGACAGACCCCTTACCTGCAGGAATGTGATATTGTCAACTTCCATTTCCTTATCGATAACTACAATCGTCTCTGAAAGGGTTGTGATATCTCTGGTCAATGCCTCAGCTCTTTCTCGCATCACATCAGATTTCTGCTGTTCTTCCTCTCTCAAGGGTAGCTATTCTGGCTGTCTCTTCCTCTTCTAGGAACTGGTGGAGTTTCTTAAACTCCCTCCTTATCTGCTCCTCTGCACATTGGGCCTGGCCCTACAAAAGAAAATATTCAACTCACCTTTCAACGTTGCTCAAATGCTCACTCCAATTATTATGTTGCTTAAATTGTATTATGATAGTTACCTTTATGTGCTCCACCCAGCTTTGATGACCCATCTTGGCTGTGTTCTTGTTTTCTAGTTTGTTCTTCAAAGTGGAAACCACATCCTGGATTTCACTCTAGATTACAAGTGATAATTATCAAACATCTGTTTTAGTTACAGAACTGTCACACTGTAAAAAATGTGTTGATTCAGCTTTAAAAAATCAAGGCAATCAGCTGCAATATGATTTTTAGTTTGCTCAACATTTGGCCATATTAGCTCAACCAACATTCACACATTGAATTGTATGTTCACTCAACTTTGAATTTTAGGATGAGTGAAAATACAATTCAACATGCCCAAATGTAACTAGAAATCGTATTGCAGCTGGTTGGTTACCTTGATTATTTTGTGTTGAATGATCTGAAGCTCCTGCTGGGCTCTCCCCTTGTACTTTATTCAGACAGATGCAGAATAAGGGATAGTGGGATAAATATTTGGAAAGGTGGTGTCAGGGATTGAACTCCACGGGCAGTGGTAGAAAAAGTACCCAATTGTCATACTTCAGTAAAAGTAAAGATACCTTAATAGAAAATGATTCAAGTAAAAGTGAAAGTCACCCAGTAAAATAGTACTTGAGTAAAAGTCTAAAAGTATTTGGTTTTAAATATACTTAAGTATGAAAAGTAAATGTAATTGCTAAAATATACGTAAGTATCACAAATAAAAGTAAAAGGACAAATAATTAAAAATTTCTTATATTAAGCAAACCAGATGGCACAATTTTCTTGTTTAAAAAAAATGCATGGATAGCCAGGGGCACACTCCAACACTCAGACATAATTTACAAACAAAGCATTTGTGTTGAGTGAGTCCGCCAGATCAGAGGCATTAGGGATGACTAGCGATGTTCTCTTGTGTGTGAATTGGACCATTTTTTTGCATTTAAAATGTAACGAGTACTTTTGGGTGTCAGGGAAAATGTATGGAGTAAAAAGTACATTATTTTCTTTAGGAATGTAGTGAAGTAAAAGTAGTCAGAAATATATAAAGTACAGATATCCCAAAAAACGACTTAAGTAGTACTTTAAAGTATTTTTACTTAAGTACTTTACACCACTGCCCACGGGGAACAGTATATGTGCATAGAGCCAGGATGTTACCCCTTGGGCCAGTAACTGAAAGGTCGCTTGTTCGAATACCCGAGCCGACGAGGTGAAAATAATCTGTCTGTGACCTTGAGCAAGGCACTTAACCCTAATTTGCTCCAGGGGCGCCGTACTATTATTTCACTGCACCTATCCAGTGTATAATTTAAACTGAACAAAATATAAACGCAACATGCAACAATTTCAATGATTTTACTGAGTTACAGTTCATATAAGGAAATCAGTCAATTGAAATAAATTCATTAGGCCCTAATCTATGGATTTCACATGACTGGGCAGGGGCACAGCCATGGGTGGGCCTGGGAGGGCATAGGACCACCCACTTGGGAGCCAGGCACCTACTCTGAGACGCTTTATGAATACGGGTCCAGGACAAGACCAACGGATGGTACAGTGGGGAAAAAAAGTATTTAGTCAGCCACCAATTGTGCAAGTTCTCCCACTTAAAAAGATGAGAGAGGCCTGTAATTTTCATCATAGGTACACGTCAACTATGACAGACAAATTGAGAAAAAATATCCAGAAAATCACATTGTAGGATTTTTTATGAATTTATTTGCAAATTATGGTGGAAAATAAGTATTTGCTCACCTACAAACAAGCAAGATTTCTGGCTCTCACAGACCTGTAACTTCTTCTTTAAGAGGCTCCTCTGTCCTCCACTCGTTACCTGTATTAATGGCACCTGTTTGAACTTGTTATCAGTATAAAAGACACCTGTCCACAACCTCAAACAGTCACACTCCAAACTCCACTATGGCCAAGACCAAAGAGCTGTCAAAGGACACCAGAAACAAAATTGTAGACCTGCACCAGGCTGGGAAGACTGAATCTGCAATAGGTAAGCAGCTTGGTTTGAAAAAACCAACTGTGGGAGCAATTATTAGGAAATGGAAGACATACAAGACCACTGATAATCTCCCTCGATCTGGGGCTCCACGCAAGATCTCACCCCGTGGGGTCAAAATGATCACAAGAACGGTGAGCAAAAATCCCAGAACCACACGGGGGGACCTAGTAATGACCTGCAGAGAGCTGGGACCAAAGTAACAAAGCCTACCATCAGTAACACACTACGCCGCCAGGGACTCAAATCCTGCAGTGCCAGACGTGTCCCCCTGCTTAAGCCAGTACATGTCCAGGCCCGTCTGCAGTTTGCTAGAGTGCATTTGGATGATCCAGAAGAGGATTGGGAGAATGTCATATGTTCAGATGAAACCAAAATATAACTTTTTGGTAAAAACTCAACTCGTCGTGTTTGGAGGACAAAGAATGCTGAGTTGCATCCAAAGAACACCATACCTACTGTGAAGCATGGGGGTGGAAACATCATGCTTTGGGGCTGTTTTTCTGCAAAGGGACCAGGACGACTGATCCGTGTAAAGGAAATAATGAATGGGGCCATGTATCGTGAGATTTTGAGTGAAAACCTCCTTCCATCAGCAAGGGCATTGAAGATGAAACGTGGCTGGGTCTTTCAGCATGACAATGATCCCAAACACACCGCCCGGGCAATGAAGGAGTGGCTTCGTAAGAAGCATTTCAAGGTCCTGGAGTGGCCTAGCCAGTCTCCAGATCTCAACCCCATAGAACATATTTGGAGGGAGTTGAAAGTCCGTGTTGTCCAGCGACAGCCCCAAAACATCACTGCTCTAGAGGAGATCTGCATGGAGGAATGGGCCAAAATACCAGCAACAGTGTGTGAAAACCTTGTGAAGACTTACAGAAAACGTTTTACCTGTGTCATTGCCAACAAAGGGTATATAACAAAGTATTGAGAAACTTTTGTTATTGACCAAATACTTATTTTCCACCATAATTTGCAAATAAATTCATAAAAAATCCTACAATGTGATTTTCTGGATTTTCTTTTCTCATTTTGTCTGTCATAGTTGACGTGTACCTATGATGAAAATTACAGGCCTCTCTCATCTTTTTAAGTGGGAGAACTTGCACAATTGGTGGCTGACTAAATACTTTTTTTCCCCCACTGTATGTTGGGAAATCGTGCTGCCAAAGAGAGTAGATAGTGGTTTCCATGCTCTCTGGTGCTGTGCTCTCCACATCAACTTCAAAGATTAAAGTGTGTTTGTGAAGTGTCTTTTGTCATTGCCTTCCACAGGCAAACATTCATTTGTAATTTTACGCAACAAGCCTTTTCAAATTCAGCTCAAAGTCCACTCAACTCACAAAATAACGCTGATTAAGAAATTGGTTTCGTCACTGAGTGAGATACATTGCCAGTTAAATAAAAGCAAAGTAAACAAAACGTTTATAAAATGGTCCCACCTTCAAATCAGGCACAGCCTCCTCAATGGGATAACAGTCATGACCTTTATGTTTTTTTGATGTGTAGCAGACAACACAGATGGGCTGTTTATCGTTGAAACAGAAGATTTTAAGTTTCTCTCCATGCAGCTGGCAGTTATCAGATCTGATGTTTTCACTCCCCTTCTGTAAGGAATCACAGAGACTCTTTAAGGCCAGGCTTAAACTCTGCTCCTCAGATGAACACTCTTTCCTGCATACAGGGCACAGCGGATTCTCCATATCCTTCCGGTATTTCTGCAGACACTCCTCACAGAAGCTGTGGCTGCATTTGAGGACCACAGGGTTCCTGAAGATGTCACAGCACACGGGACAAGAGAGGTGTTCCTCCAAGAGAGACAAACTGGCAGCCATTATTTTTCACACACAGGGATCATCTGTGCTATTCCTTCCTCGTCGATGTGAGTTGTGGCTGGATCAAAGGGCATGTTTATATGGTTGAAATGGACTCCACCCACAAGAGTTACCAAGAAACAAAACAGAAACAAAACTCACTCTGCCTCTGTGCAGAAACTCAGGCTTGGACGTACAGTGGCTTGCGAAAGTATTCACACCCCTTGGCACTTTTCCTATTTTGTTGCCTTACAACCTGGAATTAAAATTGATTTTTTTGGGGGGGGTTGTATCATTTGATTTACACAACATGCCTACCACTTTGAAGATGCAAAAAAACTGAAAACTTGAGCGTGCATAACTATTCACTCCCCCCCCCAAAGTCAATATTAAATCTAGAATCGGCTTCCTATTTCGTAAAACTGACTATCCTACCGATCCTTGACTTCGGCGATGTCATTTACAAAATAGCCCTCCAACACTCTACTCAGCAAATTGGATGTAGTCTATCACAGTGCCATCCGTTTTGTCAGCAAAGCCCCATATACTACCCACCACTGTGACCTGTACGCTCTTGTTGGCTGGTCCTCACTACATATTCGTCGCCAAACCCTCTGGCTCCAGGCCATCTATAAATCACTGCTAGGCAAATCCCTGCCTTATCTTAGCTCATTGGTCACCATAGCAACACCCACCCGTAGTCTGCGCTCCAGCAGGTATATCTCACTGGTCATCCCCAAAGCCAACACCGCCATTCCTTCCAGTTCTCTGCTGCCAATGACTGGAACGAATTGCAAAAATCTCTGAAGCTGGAGACTCTTATCTCCCTCACTAACTTTAAGCATCAGTTGTCAGAGCACCTTATCGATCACTGCACCTGTACACAGCCCATCTGAAATTAGCCCACCCAACTACCTCATCCCTATATTGTTATTTATTTTGCTCATTTGCACCCCAGCATCTCTATTTGCACATCATCTCTTGCACATCTATCATTCCAGTGTGAATACTAATTGTAATTATTTTGCACTATAGCCTATTTAGCGCCATCCATCATTCTTTCAATTCTGACCAGTTTCCCAGTCCCTGCCGATGAAAAACATCCCCACAGCATGATGCTGCCACCACCATGCTTCACTGTGGGGATGGTGTTCTTGGGGTGATGAGAGGTGTTGGGTTTGCGCCAGACATAGCGTTTTCCTTGATGGCCAAAAAGCTCAATTTTAGTCTCATCTGACCAGAGTACCTTCTTCCATTTGTTTGGGGAGTCTCCCACATGCCTTTTGGCGAACACCAAACTTGTTTGCTTATTTTTTTCTTTAAGCAATGGCTTTTTTCAGGCCACTCTTCTGTAAAGCCCAGCTCTATACGGCTTAAAGTGGTCCTATGGACAGATAGTCCAATCTCCGCTGTGGAGCTTTGCAGCTCCTTCAGGGTCATCTTTGGTCTCTTTATTGCCTCTCTGATTAATGCCCTCCTTGCCTGGTCCGTGAGTTTTTGTGGGTGGCCCTCTCTTGGCCGGTTTGTTGTGGTGCCATATTCTTTCCATTTTTTAATAATGGATTTAATGGTGCTCCGTGGGATGTTCAAAGTTTCAGATATTTTTTTATAATCCAACCCTGATCTGTACTTCTCCACAACTTTGTCCCTGACCTGTTTGGAGAGCTCCTTGGTCTTCATGGTGCTGCTTGCTTGGAGGTGCCCCTTGCTTAGTGGTGTTGCAGACTCTGGGCCTTTCAGAACAGGTGTATACATACTGAGATCATGTGACAGATCATGCAACACTTAGATTGCACACAGGTGGACTTTATTTAACTAATTATGTGACTTCTTTTTTTTCAATTTAAAGTTTTATTAAGTTTTCAATCAACCAACCAAACACATTCCACATTCACAGATGTGAATAAAAAAATAATAAAAAAATAATAATAATAATAAAAAAAATTGTTTTATATATGTATATATATATACATACATATATATACATACATACATACATACATACACACACAAATAATAATTATAACAAAATTTAAATTATAGAACTTGCAGCAGCACTATCAAGGTTCTTATTAGCTATTTCCAGCCTTAGCTGAGATGACGAGCCAATAATTAGTTTTTAGGTTTTACAGCACCTTACACAACACGCATCTGCCCATCTCCCTGATTCCCCCATTCACTCTGTCCAATTTGAAATATAGTTGAGTAGTGGAGACCAGAGTCTATCAAACTTGGGCTATCTCTTGTGGAGGTCATAAGTGAGCTTTTCAAGGGGGAGAAAGTCAACAATCTGGTCAATCCACATTTTAAATGTAGGAGAAGTATTAGAGGCCCACAATAGAAGAATACATTTCTTAGCAAAGTATGTAATGGTCATGAGCAAATTTTCTCTGTCAGGATCAAGAACAAAGTCCTGCTGGGCATTAAGAAGATAGAGACACGGGGTCATATCAAACTGTACATCTAGTATTTTCTGTGCAGCAGTATGTATAGATTGCCAAAATCTGGCAATCTCTCTGCAGCTCCAAAATACATGCATATAGGTTCCACTTTCAGAGGTACATCTATTACAATTAGGAGAAATGTCTGTTTTCATTTTATGGAGTCTCAGGGGAGTGTAATAAAATTTGTACAAAAATTTGTAATTAGATTCTTTCATTTTTACATTAGTAGAGGAGCAGTATACCCTGTCGCAAACCTCCGCCCATAACTCGTCACTGATAGTCAGACCAAGGTCCTTTTCCCATATTATTTTCAAAGGAGTAAAGGAGGATCCTCCTTTCTCAGAAAGGAGTCTATAGATATAGGATATTTTGCCTTTAATGGATTGTGCTGTGACAAGAAGGGTTTCAACTTCATTCAACTGAGTTCTAAACCTCCTCTTGGAAGTAAATGAGGAGATGACATGTCTAATTTGTAGATATTTAAAAAAATGGGATCTTGGCACATTGAATTCATTGCAGAGCTCTTGAAAGGATTTCAGTGTAGTGGTCTTCTGATGAAATAGGTCTGAAAAGGTCCTGATTCCTAGAGTATGCCAAAGATTAAAGTTGGCATCTCTCAGGGCTTTTGGCAAGTCTGGGTTGCCTACTATAGGCGAGTGAGAACATATTTGGGAGGAGATGCCCAAGTATTTCTTACAGTCCCTCCACGCTCGTAGGGTACTGTAAATCACAAATGTTTTGGCTATGTTGCCCACTTCACTAAAGTTATCAATGAATATAGTTGAGCTTAGTGGCAATGAACCACAAGATTGGGCTTCTATCTGGCTCCACGTTGACTCTTGTCTGTTTGTGATCCATGTTAGCATGTTGCGGATTTGGGCAGACCAGTAGTACAATTGAAGGGAGGGAAGGGCAAGACCACCCTTAGATTCAGGTTTCGATAGAGTGGAAAGCTTGATCCTAGGTTTTTTATTGCCCCATATAAATTTGGTGATGCTTTGGTTAATTGTTTTGAAAAAGGAAGCTGGGAGATAGCATGGGAGCATCTGAAATAAATAGTTCAGTCTAGGGAGGATGTTCATACGGATTACATTAATTCTTCCTACTAAGCTAATTGGGAGGGAGATCCAGGTTTGGAGGTTGTTCTTGATTTGATCCAGGAGTGGAAGATAATTCTCTTTGAAAAGCCTATTCAGATCTGGTGTTATGAATATCCCAAGGTATTGAAACCCCTGTGTCTTCCATTGGAATGGGCATAGTGTCTTCATAGAACTGGTGAGTATAATATTGAGAGGGCAGACAGTGGATTTGTTAAAATTAATCTTATAACCTGAAAACGTGCCATACTGAGCAATTGTATCTAAGATGGGAGGAAGGGATTTCTCAGGGTTGGATATGTAGAGCAAGACATCATCCGCGTAAAGCGAAATCTTGTGCTGCAGGCCGCCTGCAGGAACACCCATAATACTTGGATTGCTCCTTATCAATTCTGCCAGAGGCTCCGCCCCCAACAAGTAGAGCAGGGGGGACAGCGAGCACCCTTGTCTTGTGCCCCGTCCCAAAGGGAATCTGTCAGAGTTCAGTCCGTTAGTAGTCACCATGGCATTTGGATGAGAGTATAGTGATTTGATCCATTTAATAAAGTTTGGGCCCATGTTGAACTTCTCTAAGACTGAGAACAGAAAGCTCCACTCCATCCTGTCGAACGCCTTCTCAGCATCCAGTGAAGCCAGCAGGACAGGGGTCTTCTGTGCGTTTACTTGATCAATAATATCAAAAAGACGGCGAATGTTATCAGAAGAGTATCTGTCTCTAATAAATCCCGTCTGGTCCGCTTGTATTATTTTGGGAAGAAGAGTGTTTAGTCTTTTGGCGAGCAATTTGGTGATTATTTTGTAGTCGAAATCCAACAAGCTTATGGGCCGGAAGGAGGAGCAGGATAGGGGATCCTTGTCTTTTTTGAGCAACACTGTAATGCGAGCTGTGTGCATTGAGTCTGGGAGAACTCCGTTTTTGCAAAAATCCTCCAGCATTGGCATGATAGGGCTAAGCTGGGGCCAAAAAGCTTTGTAGAACTCTCTGGGGAATCCATCTGGGCCTGGGGACTTGTTAGGTGGCATGGAGGTAATTGCCTCCAGGATCTCCTCAGGAGTGAAGGGGGAGTTGAGATCTTCTTGGTCAGTCTCTGATAGTTTAGGTAGCGAGATTCCCTCTAGGAAGGAGTGGAGTTCTGCCTCCGTGTGTTTTCTCTCAGAGGTATATAGTTTGCAGTAAAAATCATGAAAAGTTAAATTGATCTTTTTTGGATCATATGTGACCTCATCCTCTGCTGTTCGGATAGCCATAATTGTACGCTCTGACTGCTCTTTTTTTAATTGATAAGCAAGCAATCTACTAGGCCTATTGCTATACTCATGGTATTTCTGTTTAGTAAAGAAAACTTTTTTTTTTATCTCCCGAGTATAGTCCAAATTCAGTTTGGCTTTGGCTGCTTTAAGTTGACTCCAGGAGGTGCTGTCTGGGGATTGTTTATGTACTTTTTCACAGCGTTCCAGCTCCCTCTCCAGATCTAGCCTGTGTGCTTCCATTGCTTTTTTCTTAGAGGAAGCATATGCAATT